TGTAGGTTCTACTGGTGGAGATATACTTGACGCACTGTCACTGTTTCTCTGTGGTAATACCTGGTGGAACTATTTTTGTCATGCTACAACAGTTCGTGTTTGAACTTAATACACGTTATTACATTTATTGAGTTTACTGAAACTGGAAGGAGCTTACATTTTTCTACTGGACTGTTTTCTGCATCAACTCTACATCAATCCATGCTTTGTGGTGTACTTGTGTATTATATTATGTGTTCTATTCTTGTGCACCATTATCATATGATCGTCTAGTGGTTTCCTTGCTATTGAAATAACTGTGGTGTGGACGAAGTTTCTTCAACTTCCAATGAATATAAATGATGCAGCGTGAAGACAATCCTTCAACTTCTGGTGGCTCTTACTATGTCGGAATATTACGCACAGATGCTTGGCGGAGTTCAGTGGTGTTGAGAACATTGTTCAACTTCCATTGCTCAACTACTAGCGGATTTTCTGTGGCCGAAACATAAGTACTTTGGTGCAAATGATTATTACTACTTTACACTATACTGTCTTATTATTATATATTATAGTTTGTATATATACTCATTTCTATATATGTATCATCTATAATATCTTTGCACTTCTGCTGTTCGCTTCTTTTATAATTTGTTAACTTGCGCTTAATTGTTGTGATTCTAATTTTATTTTATCTTCGTTACTTTAATTGTTACTGTATATTTTAAACTATCTTATTTTTCATAAAATTTTACTTGTATAAATATATATTACGCCTGTATAATATCCTTGTTGCCCTCCCATCATTGTACAATTTTACTCTTAATGTTTATTAATATGCTGTGTTCATTGTCATAATTAGTTAGTGTTTTTAAATCCTGATAATGCTCAGCGAAATCAGGAAATGTAACTTATGTTATTTTAATAAAATGAAAATGAATGAAATGAAAATGCTGTACTGTTCTGCAACGAAAACAAGCTTGAGCAACGGCGATGTCGAATGGTGCACACTCAGTAAGTAATCCTACAATTTCTTGTTTATACCGTAGTTTATACGGATTATTTCCAAAAAAAATATATGTATTTTGGAAATGTTGAGTCAGATTAGTCTAGATTCGATTAATTTTACGGAAGAAAACCTTTCAAACAGCCATAGTCTGTAAACTTCAAACGTGTCAGGCTGTGATTCCTACAAAATTGATTCATAAAGAGCGGAACGTATCTACCATCTTATAGGGGGATCGACTGTATAATTTTTCAAAATATATATCTCTATGTAAAAGCATTAATGTTTCAGAAAATCAAAAAAGTATGTTCTGAATATTTTAGAAGATTTAAGTGTAATATAATTCTAATAATAATTATTTCTTAAACAACAAAACAATTATACAAAGTTATTTAATATAAAAATATTTTAAATTAACTCACTTATGTTGTGCTTCTAAAGCCTTTTCTAATTTATTGTGACACAAAACAGCATGAAGACGTTGTTCAGCATTTTTAAAATCAGGTTGAACTTTCAACGTGTTTTCAAAACATATTCTTGATTTATTATAATCTGTTAGAACCTAAATAAAATTTATTTAAATCTGTAGAAAATAGCATTTACAAAAAATCTTAAATAATTTTATTTACAGCATAAATATTCCCCAATGTAAAGTGACAAATGGCATTATCTGGAGCTATATCAATTGCTGCATGAACAACAATGGCTGCTTCTTCAGTCTGANTAAATAAAATTTATTTAAATCTGTAGAAAATAGCATTTACAAAAAATCTTAAATAATTTTATTTACAGCATAAATATTCCCCAATGTAAAGTGACAAATGGCATTATCTGGAGCTATATCAATTGCTGCATGAACAACAATGGCTGCTTCTTCAGTCTGATGTGCGTGATGAAGTATGTTTCCCAAACTTATCAATGCAACGTCTTTATGTTCTCTAGAATTCACTAAATAAGATTTTAAAAATTTAAAGAAGTTAAAAATAAATAAATAAAATTTATTTAAATCTGTAGAAAATAGCATTTACAAAAAATCTTAAATAATTTTATTTACAGCATAAATATTCCCCAATGTAAAGTGACAAATGGCATTATCTGGAGCTATATCAATTGCTGCATGAACAACAATGGCTGCTTCTTCAGTCTGATGTGCGTGATGAAGTATGTTTCCCAAACTTATCAATGCAACGTCTTTATGTTCTCTAGAATTCACTAAATAAGATTTTAAAAATTTAAAGAAGTTAAAAATAAATAAATAAAATTTATTAAAACCTGGGTGAAAAATGTAAGGCTCTTCGAACACATTCAATAGCATTATCTGCATCACCATGAACCCTCCAATAATAAGCGGCCATGTTGAATAAAATCCAAGATGTATGATTCTAAAATAACAAACATTTTTTTAAAAATTAATTCTTAATTTTTCTATCTTTTTATTTAACATTTCAATTAACACAATGAAAACAAGCTCTAACTCAACAGTTTTTATTCATTGTTATTATTTTGAATTAATCAATGCACTTTAACACAGGGTGAAGTTTAAAGAACAAACATTTGATCTGATAAATGGACTTCTTATGTTAACCAATGGCCTGTTAACTGGGTTGAAAACATTAGCATTCTTTAACTTTCCCCTTGAATGTTAAAAGTGTATTGATTAATTCAACTGAATAACTATGATGGTTAATTCATTTTTATTATAGTCTACTCGAAAATAGTGACCCTACCACTTCTAGTTAGCTACAGTAAAAGTGCATCAGCTACCAAAACATACTTATACAGGAAATTATTAAATGTACAGTGGAACTCTGGAATGAACAGCTAGAGCATGTAGCATGGCACTGATCTCTGCCTTATAGGTTATCCTAGGAACACCTCCAATTAATCTTTGTACTGCAACACTCAATAAACAGATATCTATCCCCTTAAAAGGAAAGCACACAGTTACTCTGGATGTTACTTTCCATAGTAATTCTTATAAAAAAGACAGCAAACCACCTTTGTTTATCCACTTTCAAGAACTAAAATCCACATTGTCTCACCTTGTAAAATATGTGTTTTTACTGATAATTCTGCAGATTCCCTTCTCAGTTTTAGAGCATTTGTGATAAATTCCTTTATCATTACAATAGGTAATCTCTGCAACTTTCTAAATCATGTTCCTTGTTTCTACTGCATCAATGAATACTGTAGAAAATTGATACTACAGTAGAGTCTCGAAAACTTGGCCTAATGTGGACCGAAGGGTGGCCGAGTTTATGAAAATGCCGGGTTATCGGGAATGGGTTTAAAAAAATAAATATGAGTGTTTCTTCAGAAAATACTGTACTGTACTTGTATGTATTGTTTACTTGAGAATACAACAGAGAATAAACTGCCCAAATACCCTTAAACAAAGGAAAAGTACATCCTTTATGAAGGCATAGAGCCTTTACTACATGAAAATGAAAATTAATGAATACACTGTGTACAGTAATTTACCTGATAAGACAGACCTCAGAAAAATACTTTATGAGGCATAAAGCTGTCTATAATGAAAATTAATTAACTAAATTAATTAA